AAAAAAAAAAAAAAAAAAAGCTCAACATCATGAATCGTTATGGAAATGCACATTAAAACCACAATGAGATATCACCTCACACCTGTCAAAATGACTATTATCAAAAAGATGAAAGATAAGGGTAGCCCAAACCTGTAATCCCAGCAGTTTGGGAGGCTGAGGTGGGAAGATTGCTTGAGATCAGGAGTTCTAGATCAGCCTGGGCAACACAGCAAGACCCTGTATGTACAAAAAAAAATTTTTTTGTTTTAATTAGTTGGGTGTGCATCTGTGGTTGTAGCTTCTCAGGAGGCTGAGGTGGGAGGATTCCTTAAGCCCAGGAGGTCAAGGCTGCAATGAGCTATGTTCACATTACTGCACTCCAGCCTTGGTGACAAAGCAACACCCTATCTCAACAAACCAAAAATATGAAAGATAATGTGTTGGCAAGGTGTGGAGAAAAGGGAAACCTTGTACACTGTTGTTTGGAATATAAATTAGTACAGCAATTATGGAAAACTGTGTGGAGTTTCCCCAACAAAGTGAAAATAGAACTACCATATGATCCAGCAATCTTACTTCTGGATATACATCCAAAGGATTTGAAGTCAGGATGTGATATACACCATGGTGTGTGAAAATGTGGTATATATACACAATAGAATACTATTTAGCCTTAAAAAGGAGGGAAATTCTGTCATTTGCAACAACATTGGTGAACCTGGAGGACATTACGCTAAGTGAAAAAAAGCCTGGCACAGAAAAACAAATACTACATCTTCTCACTTAAATGTGGAATCTAAAACAATTGAACACATGTAAGCATAGAGCAAAATGCTGGTTACCAGAGACTGAGGGGTAGGGAGGCAATGGCCAAAGGTGCAATGTTTCAGTTAGACAGGAAGAATAAGTATTTGAGGTGATGGATATGTTAGTTACCTCAATTCAATCATTTCATATCATGTATCATAGCATCACTTTGTACCCATAAGTATATGCACTTATAATTTGTCAATATTCAATAGTAAAAATATAAATTTTAAAAAACTTTCTGACCATCACAATATCCAAGAGAAATAAGAATATATGTCCTACCAGAAACTTGTACATAAATATTCATAGCAGCATTATTCATAATAACTAAAAAGTGAAAACAACCCACTCTCCATCACCTGATGAATGGACGAACAAAATGTGTTTTATCCAAACACTGGAATATTATTCAGCCATAAAAGACATAAAGTATTAATACTTACTATAATATAATGAACCTTGAAAACATGATAATATTTTAAAGAAGGCAGACATAAAAGGCCACATGATTCCATTTATATGAAACATCCAGAATAAGGAAATCCATAAAGACAGAAAGTATATTAGTGAAGCCAAGGATTAGGGGAGGAATAAATGGGGAGTAGACTGCTCCCAGGTATCGGCTTTTTTGGGGGCTGATGAAAATGTTCTGGAATTAGATAGTGGTGATGGTTGCATAACTGTGTGAGTACATTAGAAAGCACTGAAGTGAACCCACTAAAAGGGAAAACTTTATAGTATGTGAGTTACTTCTCAACAAAGCTGTTATTTTAAAAATAAATTTTCTGCAATATCTCCAAAATATATGTAACAAAAGAAAGAAGCAAGGTGAAGATAGTATGTCTAGTACCACATGTGTAAAACTAGACAGACAGATATAGATAGATTGTCTATAAATAGATATAGATAGATTATAGAGAGAGAGAGTGAGAGGGCAACCAGCTTTTCATTCTATACCCTTTTATGTTTTTCATTGTTTGTACTATGTGGAGGTATTATATCTATTATATACATATTTTTTCTAGGATCATATAGCTAATGATTTATCACTATAACTTTTCACATTCATCCTTTCTTTCCTTTTAGGAAACAACAATTAGTGACATCCTTGAATCTGAAGTAGTGAATGAAATACTGCCTTTATCAAACTCCAGGTTAGTAAAGTTAAGACAAGTAAAGTCAAGTCTATCTGAGATGGACTCGCAGCCACGCCTGAGAGTCATGGCTGCCTAACTAGTCCTGGATTGCTGGCTTGAGAAGGCATAGCATTCTGGGGTCATTTTCTCTACATGAATTATTTGAGTCTTCTTCCAATTCCTCCCCTTGCCACTCCTTCACCCCTAAACCCCACAGAATCCTGACTTAAGGTAGGAAATAAAATATGAACATAGGTTTAAGGTAAATTTTATTTGGCTTTCTTTGTGTAAGAGTTGCAAAAAATTGAAATTCTATTAATGCCTATATCCCTGTAACCCCAAACTGCTACCAAGAAACTCTTGTCTACGTGATGTCCTCACATATGGCCTTTCTTAGTTTTTCAGGAAAAGGTCTGGTAGAGTCATTTGTAAGTCTTCAAGAGACTGACGACATTAAGTCAAAAGAAGCAATGGCAAGTTCAAAGTCCCCTGAAAAGTCCCCTGAGAATCTTGTGTGTTCACAGAATTGTGAGGCTGGATACATAAATGTGACTTCTCTGAAAGAGACACATGGTATACAAGAACAAGACCAAAAGTCAGAACTATAAAATCACTGGTGCCTAAAGCTATACTGAACAAAACTGCTAACTTAAAGCCTGGACAAAAGGTGGACCATGACATTGAGAAGAGTTACCACAGATCCCAAATGGATATCAGCCAAGAGTCTTCAAAATTGCTGATAAATTCATTAAAGCAATTCTAAAAATGGATTTCTCAAGTTTGTTTGATATCCTCAGATGCCTTGTATTGGCCAAAATATTTACTTTAGTTCAATGATTTATTTAGGTTTCTCTTCAACAGAGCACATGTATGGTTAATTAAGCATTCTTTCCTATTATCGTGGGTTTCTTTTATGATTTATTTTTTAAGAGTAAAAACAATACAGTCACATTAAAGCAAATTTTGTTTTCAAAAAAACCCTCCTAGGATGGGCGCAGTGGTTTAC